AATATATATATATTTTGTGGCTTGGTTGCTGTAATCATCTTGGATGTAATAATGTTACTAGCCTCAGGGCTATATTTATTAAGATTTTAATTTAAAATCTTTCTGTCCTTCAGCATTTAAACAGAGGAAAACCCCATCTGGAGTAGCCAAAAAAAAGTTCATCCTTTTCTTTTTCATGCGTTCCCCTCCCCTAGGCCCTCTCTCTCATCTTTTAAGCAAAAAAACCTAGAACAACGTGCTTTCCTGTTGTAGCTCTGCACCCTCCTAATGCTTCAGTACCTGTGCAGGTTTGGTAGACCCAATGTCTGCTGAACATGATCCATGTTCTTGCTGTCTCTGAACTAGTGGTTTGTTTTCTTATCCTTGTACCAGTATATTTCACAGTAATATTTCCATATAATTTGATTTATTTGTAATAATATTCTCAGTCAGGATCTCAACCTCAAAGTAATAAACATTGTAGGGGCAAGACTTTTACTCAGATATGGCAAAGGGCTGTGGAGAAGTTTCAGGGTTATTCCTTGTTAATAAACTGCCACACTTCTGAGGAGATCGTGGCAGGGAAATAACAGAACAAGAAGACCTGCTTGTAACCTGGAGAGTGAAAAGCTGTCACGGTGTAAGTGCTTTTTCAGGTGTTTTGGAAGAAATGGCAGATTTCAGACCCACGTCGTACAGAGTCTGCGATCCATTTTATTTTAATCCCACAACATATTCAAGTTATTCAAGTGCCAACTTTTAACTGATAGATACTGAGCAGGGCAGAGGGTGATTCAGAAATTTTTATTAACAGCCCTCCCATATGATTTAGTAGTACTGAAACATCAGCAATGGGTGGTAGCAGAGGACCTTGCTCATAGCTAATGCCTGAGAAGCAAATGGCTGCAATGGCTAAATAGCACTGAGCAGACTGTGAATCATCTGGGCCAGCTCTCAGCTCCACTAACTGACAGTGCTACTGTTCTGCCCCAGTGGAAGATCCTCCTTGCTTGAACTAGGGGACTTCGGTGCCATTACAGGAGGCCCTTGCTCCTGGCCCTAGCAGTGAGTGCATCAGTCAACCATATCACAATCATCTTTCAAATCTCACTCTGATGTTCTTGTGCAAACAGCCAAATGGAACAACAGTCTTGGTTTAATGTAATAAGATTCATGGAAACAAAACTGGGCGATTTAAGCATAAACAGATTGAAAATTACTTTTGATATACAGCACCAAGGCCATGCCGTTTGTGTCAAGCTCTGTGCAAGAGATGAATTCCTGTATGCTGCTTTTCTTCATTTCAAAGCAACTTACAGAGGATTGAATGCTGTCATCCTCAACTTACTGCTAGTGCAAATGGGATGAAGAGGAAGAAATTCAGGCTTAAGCACAGGTCTTCTGGCTGCAGCTTGTCCCACAGGCAGTAAGTGTAGACACTTGTAGAAAAGAGAAGGTAGCTTATGTCCAGGTACTCATCAAGTGCTACTGACTGCTAATCATGAGATGACTCAAGCTTCTGTACTCCATTTCTCTCATAGCATTGTAAATGTACCAGCCATTTTTCTGCTTCTGACCTCCATTTAAAATCGGAGGGAAACCTCTCCATCTTGTCACCACTCCCTGATAATCACTACTTTTCTCAGGACAGCTGATTTTCACATTGCTCCATCCTAATGTTCATTTTCTAGATCTAGTAGATAGATCAATCACAGGTGGATATACAGAAGAAATGCACCTCTGGACTTCTAAACACATTGCCTCAGTAAGTACTGTTCAAGTCACAAGAAGTCAAGTTTTAACTATTTTGTTTACCACTTAAATGCAGATTTTATTTTTACCCACTTTGCTACTTTGCAAACCTTTTGGTGTGAACTTAAACAAACATGAAAATCATGTTCTTTAACAGTATGTTAAAAGTGCTTATATGTTAAAAGTGCTCACCACAAAGCAGACACTTCTTTGTTGGGCAACCAGCACAGCTTTTTCATGTTCTCTATGTGTCCTCACCCGCCCCAACCTATTTAGGTCAATACAAGCAACTTCAGAGGAAGTCACTGCCTGGTTATAAGGCTACGGCTTTGGACTGCAGAGGACAGACTGGGTGAGGAAAACAAGAACACTTCTGGGCCGTCAACAAGCAGTGGATAGCTTTTGAATATCACATGGGGTATCCACCTGATGGTGTTTGGTCCCTTTGCTTTGGAAGTTGAAGCAGATCACTGAACTCAACCCCTTTGTCAAAGGGCACGCTGCTTTGTGTGGAGACCTGCCTGAGGCGAGGTACCTGACCCATTGCGTCGGGGCACGAGATCCACCTGCGCTTCATTCCCCACAGCGAGCCTGGGAGCTTGGCTGCAAACCTTCCCAGAGCATGGAGGGGTCATTGAAGATCAACTGGCCAACATGTTGCCCATGAAACAACACAAGGTAGCTGAGCTGAAGGGAGCGGGACAACAGCTGTGTTGAAGCAGGTGCAGTGGGAGCAGGAGGCTGAGGCTGTGAGTATATCCCTGCAACCCTGTCCTGCTGTCTTCCCCATGCCCCCATCCTGTCTGACACTTGTGCTGAGAGCTGGCATTCAATAGGTGCTCTTCAAAACTTGTTATGGGCTCTTTTACTTCTCTGTGACTCATCTTCCAGATTCTTGTAGTAGCTGCTTTAGATGAGGAGTTCCCAGTTTGGTCAGGTCCTTTGTTTCTGTCTGATAAACCCTCTTTTTCCAAGTGCTCTTCAGAGTAGGGCCCTTTTTTTTAGCGAGAGCAAATCTGTGTTAACAGACAGTTTTCAGTTAAAGAAGCATGGGCAGGAGCAAAGGAGCCAGATTAACCTCTTAGTGGGGTTTTTTCATGAGTTAGGTCTACCTCTGCCAGTTCAGAAAACATCTAAGTAATTTAGAATGGCATTTACCTATTTGATTTTCAATAGGACTTTCCTTTTTACAGAATTACGGTGCTTTTGAAACAGCCACTGTTTCTGTCACAGTCATTTAAGAAGTAATTTTGTGTAGTGAGGAATGAGCCTGATTACAGATACAAAATTTCATCTGAAGCTAAAGAATGTAATGAATACAAATTCCAGATAGAGCACAACGTTCCCAGCCTGCCCGGGTAACTGTGTCTCAGTTTCTCTATATTTCCTGAAAGATGACAATGGCCACCTTGTAAAAAGCTCTTTCAGATATGAGGCAGAAGTATACACTTCAAGGTCTAGCCTTGAAACTTCTGTGGGATAGCAATGCTCTTCTGAAGTGCCATTTAAAACAGATTGCGTTTCACTACGTGCAAAAATCCCCCATATAGATGCAGCTATATGAGCAAAAAAAAAAAGTGCTTTTGCCAGTATAGCCTATTTTATTTGGGAAACGCTTGCAGAAAAAGATGCTTGTGCTAGGAAAACTTGTATTTGCTGGTTATCAAAGGAGAAGCATTTCTAGTGCAAACCAGGCCTCTTATACGTGAAGCTTTTATTCAGTTCAGCCACCAGTACAGTGAAGAAAATCCTTCCTCAAAGGGATTAGTAGAGTTACCTAATAGATATTATTAATGGTTTAAGAGCATAAAAGGTGCTTTAGCAATAGGTAAGGGTCTAGATCCTTTGCTAATGTAAATTACTTGTGGTCCCGCTGAGGGCATCATGGAAACACAGAACAGTGAGGGAGCTGCCTTGTGCCATCACTGTCTGCTCAGTTTCCAGAGCTTCCCACCAACTCAGGAAGGTGCAGGGGTGCACTAACTGGCCTCTCCAAAAGTGTGACTTCTGCATCCACCAGAAAATGTGCATAAGCAAATATCTAGGTTATAAAGGAAGAATTATAGCTGGGAAGACCCTGCTTGAGCAGGGAGGTTGGATCAGATGACCCCACAGGTTGTCCTTTCCAACCTTACCCGCTCTGTGATTCTGTAGCGGTTTGATGTCTCTGAAACATGCCGATTCCCACTGGCTGAGGATCTTAGTGTATACTGTTTTCATTATACTAGTAGCTTTTTATAAACATCAGATTCCAGTCATGAGACTTGATGATTCCACAGAAAATACCCTCCGACGCAGTACTTTCTCACAGCAGGGCTCCCTGGCTAATCGTGTGCTTGCCCGTCAAGCACAAATCCCAGCCATTTCCTTCCCAGTTTTCCCCTGCATTTAATGTATGGAAAAGCATGACCCTGAATCAGATGAATAGCAGCCGGTTTGAGAAGGTGTGTGTGAAAATGTATCCTCACGCAGATGAGCTCAGAACAAACAGAATAGAGGGGAGGAGGGGAGGAGAGCAGAGAGGGGGAGGATGAAGCTACCCTTTCCCTGATAGTTAAGCCACTATGTGTAAGCAACAAGTTTATGCCCAAGGGAAAGAACTGAAAGCTGAGGATATTTTAAAATTAACAGAGCTTTATGGCTCAATCAATAGGCCATGCTCCCTGAGCAAGATTAGAAATCAGATGGCACACTGCTTTCTGTTAACCCTGTTTGCTCTCCCTGAAGGCTCTTCTGCCTGAAAGCATCTGAGGTTTGATTAAGTTCTTCTTCAGGAGGAAGTCAGAGAGAGTCCTGAATGCCTCCAGAATGCTGTGTTGGACACACTTTAAATAACAATAAAGATTATTAGTGTATTAGTTTGCTAGTAATTGTGAGAGAAGATAAGTCTCCCCAGTATTTGAATATGCAAAATGGCTTTGGCTAACCAAGAAGGGGGGGGGGGGAAGCAAAAGCCAGAACATGCCACTGCAGTGAGTAACAGGGATGATTAAAAATCACCATATGTAAAAAAGAAAACCTCTACCTTGTTTTACTACTAGAAATACCTTCTCAGATTTGATATCCCCACTAAACCCATGATATTTTCGCTCTTTGGCATTTCATTCTCATTGGGGCAATGAAATAGTTGTTTCCAAAGGGAGAGGGACTGTGTTTGCACCTATTTCTTGTTTGACAGTGACCTCTACGAACCAGTCATCACTGCTCTGCCTGTTGTTTTCTTGTTAGCTCTTTGCTGTCAAATTAATTACTGTGAAGTACTAAGCTTGTTGCATTCACGTGCTCTTATTAGCTCACAGGATGTCAGAGTGATTGGATTTTTAGCATTATTTCTTTTTTTACATTCCAGGTTTTCCATTCAAAACCTGTTACTGACAGGGAGGAAATACTGTACCTAATTCTGATCTCCCACCAGGGTAGCTCCAATGATGCTGAGGATTTACAAAGCTGTATATGCAATTAGACTTTGGTTATATTAAACCCAACATGAACAATAAGATTGGGATTGCAATTGTGACTCTGAAGCACAGCATTAATTGTCTTTCTTTTTGCAGTACAGAACAAGAAAGAAAATATTTATGATGAGAACAGCACTTGTCCCTTCTATTCTTAAGTCACAGCAATGAGCTGATTCTCCAGTTGACCCTCTTTGCGCTCCTGAGTTGCTTGTGTGAGTGACAACTAACAGTGCTCTCGCGTGTGCAGTCCAAGGAGATATGAGAAGTTTCATTCTTTTCTTCTACAAAATGAAATGAGAAGGGACTTCTTTGCTGTTGTGCTTGAAATTTGTGTGTCCTGCATCCATCCCTTGAAAAACACCAATCTGGCTCGGTGACAAAGATGAGGGGCTCGAGAATTGCTTTCACTCTTGAAGGTAGATTTTTCCCTGCTAAAAAAAAAAAAAAAAAAAAAGGGAGAAAGAAAAAAGTAAATGCGATTAGAACGGCTGGCGGCCCCGGGCCCGCCAGGGGCCGAGGGAGGCTCAGCTCAAGGTGCTCCTTCGCCCAGAGCAGAGCTCGGGCTCCAGCCCCCGCCTCTGCGGAACTCGACACCCGGCCGGGCCTGCCGAAACCTTCCCACCTCCCGGTCCTCCGCGCTTCGACCCGGCCCCTGCCCGTGGTGCCGGCTGCCCCTTATCCCGCTTCCCTCCCATCCCGCTGCCCCCTTATCCTGCTGTCCCCTACCCCGCTATCCCCTTATTCCATTGTCCCCTTATTCCGTTGTCCCCTTATCCCGCTGCCCCGTCTCCCGCTGTCCCCTTGTCCCGCTGTCGCCTCTCCTGCCCTCTCCTATCCCGCTGCCCCGGTCCCGGCACGGTGACCCCGCCCGGCCCCGCCGCCGCTGCCCCGCGCGGCCCAGAGGGGGCGCTCTCGGCCCAGGCTTCCCCGGCGGCGGCGGCGGCGGCGCGCGGGCCCCGCGCAGGTGAGGCGCGACCCCGCGGGGGCTGCGCGGCCCCGCCCCGGGGCACGGAGCGGGGCGGGGGGCGCGGATCGCTGACACACCTCGGTGCCGCGGCCGCCCGTGTGCAGCGGTCTTCTCTCCCCAGCCTCGGCCTCCCGTCCCTGGCCGCTCGCCCCCGGGCTGGGCTGCTGGGGGGAGCCGGGTGAGAATCTCTCCTGACCTCTGCGAGGGAGTGTCACAGCTCCTTCACCTCGGAGCCCCCCGGGGCTGCCCTGGGAAGGAGCGGAGGAAAACCCGCTCCCCGGGCGCGGGCAGGGCCATCGCTCCCGGCGGCTCCTATCCACGGCTGCGGGAGCGCGGCTGTCCCGTTATTTCCTCTCCCGGCTCCCCTCGGCCGCCGCCCTGGCCCCCCCCCTCCCGCCCCATCGCTGCCTCCGCCAGGCTCCGCGTCCCTCCTGCCCCACGGAAAATACACACAGTCCCCGGCACCCGCCCCGATTACTCGGCCCATTCAAACAAACAAACAGAAACCCGCCCCGTCGCAAAGCCAACCCGACGGTAAACTTTCTAATGACTTCTTCTTTCAAGTGCTTAAAAGGCAAGGAACACCGCGGGGGGTGGGGGGAAGAGGGGGGTATCCATCTCCCGGCCGGGGCGGGAGGGGGGCCGGAGCTGCCGCCGCTCGCGATCCGTCTGTCCGTCAGTCCTGCCGGACGACGGGACAGGGACGCGAGCCGGTGTGCGGTGGGTGTGTTTGCAGGAACCGGGAGGGAGGGAGGGGACGGGGGGAGTTAAAGAAACAGCATAGTTAATATTTCCACATCAGGAAGTTACTGTAATAGCCCAGGGGGCAAAAGACTTAACTTAATCTCCTAAATAGTGAGGAACCCATGGCGTCTCTGTTATAGGTTGGAGTTCCCACGTGGTTTTAACTCCTGTATAAAAGTTTCAGTAGAAAGTGCCACAATGTCGTGATTTTGCAGGGGGAAAAATTAGAAGGAGAAGATCAGAGGAAGATAAGCGAGGAGCAAGCAGCTTCCCGGAGACCTTTCACTGCGGATCGGAGAGGGAACATCAGACGCGTTAAAAAAGAAAAACAAAAACAAAAACCAAAAATCCAAACAAAACAAAAAACCCCAAACAAAACAAAACACAGCGTTCAAGCCAGCACAAGGCGAGCGAAAGATCAAAAAGACGCAGAGAGGGAGACAGATTAACTGGAGCAGCAGCAGCAGCAACAACAAAAATCACACTTAAAATAATAATAACAATAATAATAATAAAACCCAAACCACCAACAAGGGAGATATTGTTTAAAAAGAGCGAGCGAGGGAGCGAGCCGAAGAGCTGGTCTGACTGAGAGGATCCGTGCAGCTTCTCCTGGGATCGCCGGGATCGCGCCGCTTCCCCGCGCCGCGCAGCGTGCGGTGCCCTGCCCGCGGCGGGGGTCCCCGGGCGCCGCCGCCGCATCCGCGCCGGACTCCGGACCCTCCGCGCTGCTTTGAAAAATAAAAGCACCTCGCTAATAATAAGCGGGGCGGTGGGGGGAGAAGACTCGCAACAGTGGAGCTGCCAGCCGCGCACCCCCTCCCCGCCGCCCCCGACTCCCTCCCCAGCTATGCTCCGGGTCAACTTTGATGGCACGTTGAGAAGCAGTGGGCGCTGAAAGGGGACAACCGAGCGGCGCGGAGCCGACCTGCTCAGAGACCTGCACCCACGGATTGTCCTGCGGGGGCGGAGTGGGCGGGGGGGTACAAGTGGCATTTCTCCCCCCCCTCCTTCCAGGCTATAAATTGGATTGTATATAAATCTGCTTCGTTTATCTCCCTGACCCCCCTCAATGACGCTGGACTAGAGAGCTCCTCTCCGCGGCCCGCCCGGACCTGCCGAAGCGAGCGATGGACCACGAGCGACTGCGCCCGGGGATGCCCCTCTGAAGCGACGCGGGGCACCGGGGCAGCGCGGCGCCGCCTCTCCCCTGCTCCCCGGATCCCCTTGCACCTCCGGCTCGCTCCCCGCTCCCCCTCCCTCCTCCCCGGGCTCCGCAGCCACCCCCTCACCTGCTGCCGTCCCCCTCCCCCGTGGAGCCGGGCTCTCCGTGCACGCCAAGCCTGCTGCCCCCCCCTCCCTCCCCAACTTCGCCCTCGGTGCCTGCGCGTGCAGCCTCCCCCCTCCGCCTCCCCGGCGGCACACGCCGCTTCCCCGGGCGCCCCCTCCCTCCGCCGCGGCTCCCCCCCTGCGCGGAGCGGTTGCGGCCCCCCAGCTTGGCTGCCACCGCCCCCTCCGCGCCGCGGAGCGCTCGGAGCGGCGCTGCCTGCAGACGGGCTCCCTGCGGCGCTCCGGGGCGGCCCCCAGCTCGGCCCCCCGCTCCTCCGCCATGGACGGGGCGGCTCGCCGGGGGGTGCTGGCCGCGCTGCTGGCCTGCGGGCTGCTCCTGCTGGGCGCCGCGGCCACCCCGACCCCGCCGGCCCCCGCCGGCGGCTCCCCGCAGGACACATGCACCTCCTGCGGCTTCCGGCGGCCCGAGGAGCCGGGCAAGGTGGACGGGGATTTCCTGGAGGCGGTGAAGAGGCACATCCTGAGCCGGCTGCAGATGCGGGACCGGCCCAACATCACGCACGCCGTGCCCAAGGCGGCCATGGTCACGGCGCTGCGCAAGCTGCACGCCGGCAAGGTGCGGGAGGACGGCCGCGTGGAGATCCCCAGCCTGGACGGGCAGGCGAGCGCCGGGCCCCCGGCGCACGACCCGGTCTCCGAGATCATCAGCTTCGCCGAGACAGGTGGGCGCCGCCCGGCCGCGCGCCCCCGCCGCCCGCGTCCCCCTGCCCGACCCGCCGCGGCCCCTGCCCTGCCGCGCTCCCCGCCTGTCCTGCATCGCCCCGTCTGTCATTCCCCCTGCTCGACCCCCGTCAGTCCCCCTGCTTGACCCCTGTCAGTCCTCCCGCTCGCCCTGCCTGTCCTCCTGCCCACCTTCTCTTTCCGCCTGCCTGACCCCTGGCAGTTCCCCGACCGCCCTTGCCTGGTCCCCTGCGTACCCTGCCTGTCGTCCTGCCTGTCGTCCTGCCTGCTCCAGGCACCTGGCTGCCGAGCTCAGCCGCTTGCCCTCCACCTCATCCGCTCTCCCCTCTGCCCCGCACCATCCCGCCCTGACCCTGCCGGTGCCTTCCCATCCTCCGTGCTTGTGTCCCCGTGCCCGGGATTCTCCCCGGGTTGTGCCCTGCAACTCTCCTCGCTTGTCCCTCCATCCCTCCGCAGCCTCCGTGCCCCCGGCTCTCCTCCGGCGGTCCTTCCAGCTGCACGGGGGCTTGTCTCGGTCCCTGCGTGTCCCACTGTCCCTCCTCCACCTGTCCCACTCCATCTCTTGCATCCCTTGCCTCCTCTGTCTGCCCTGCACGTTCATCTGCTTCACTGCCTGCATCTGTCTATTAAGGCTTGCATTTGCCGTCTTCCCTTTCTATTTATTTCTCATTTATTTAGCTTTTATTTGCAGTGTTGGCCTTGTCTGTTTGTCCACTGTGTGCAGGGTCCTACCAAGTGTATCTATCTCCTCTCTGTCCGTCAGTCCGTTTACTAACAGTGCCCTCCATCCCCTTGGTACCAGCCATCTCAATCCTGTCCAGCCATTGCAGTTATGTGTCACTGAATCCCTTCAGCATAGCTTTCCAGCAGTTTAACCACTGTCCCTGTGAACTTTGCACATCTGGCTGTAACACCATCACTCTGCAAATTACCTCTCTTCTATTTATCTGCCCATCTCTCCTTTCCTTCATCGCTCTGTCGCTCAGTTCATTTTTCTCTCTTTCTATCTTTCTGTGGCATCTATGTATCATTTGTCCACAAAATAAATCTCTTTCTATCCTGTATGCTGCCCACTCATCTTCTTTATCTACCCTCCCACTTACCAAAAGCATATACATTTACAGTATCTATGGGATCTGTTGCATTATACATATGCTTGTTATATTCACATACAAAATTTATGAGCGCACACAATCTCACACAACACAAGTGATGTGGATCGGTGCAGCAACACCGTACTGTTCTTTTTCTGTCACTGCCACCACAGTTTATGAAGAAGTTGTGTATTTACTAACACGCGAAAGGCTTTCTTAGCGTACATTTAGGGGGTTATTATTTTTTAATAGGCTGTTGTTGGGAGATCTGGGGTGGGCTTGTACTTCCATTTGGTATTCAGTCAATCGCTGTCTTTTGTAACACTTCCGAAATTGACTTTATGTAAAACGTAGACAAACACAGTGAAAATTTTTGTCACTGAACTATTACAAGGTACTGAATGGGCTCTGGAGACACATTTGAAAGGCATCTAGGGTAACAAATGAAGACAGCGACTACGCAAAAAATCCCATTCAGAGATTGACAAAAATGCTACAGATTCTTGGGAAAAGAAAAGGAAGAAAAATCTACATTTAGCTCTGTACAGAAGGAAGCAAAACAGATAAGGGCAGATGAGAAAATGCCTTTCCAGCAATAATTTTAAATAGCGATTGGGATGCTTTGATTCAGGGACCAGAATTACAGTCTCCGCCATAAAGGCCAGCTTGCACATTTATCACCTACGCCAAATTTAGTTAGGACTTGTAGTACAAAATTGCAGGAGGGCCACTGGTATTTCTGAAACATTTCATGCAGCAGGCTCTTCTGTTTACAAATAAGGGGTTATGTCAGACATTTGGTGACATTTGGTTTTCTGTGACAATTTCTCTCCTTTAATTCTGGTGTTACTGAAAAGCGAATTGAGAACAGCCAATAACAGCGTTACAGCGGGAACAACCGCTTCATTGCCTCTCTTCGTATGGGAGTTTATAATTTCGGGGAGAAAAGGCAGAGATTGAAATGATTAATAATAGCAGATATTCTACCAGAATTTAGTGGGGGTTAGCTTGATATGTTGGACAAGCCGGCACATTGCTGAAATATTTTCCCTTCTGTCTCGTGAATCCTTTCCTTTAAAACCGCAGCGAGAATATGTGCAAATCGAAACAAAATCCCTGGTTTGGCATTGGTGTTTCAGTGATTATTGAAAGAGCTCTCCCCGTGAGAATTGGCAGGTAGCTGAAAGTTAAAACTATTCTCAAACTGACAAGATAGCAGAGTCCTAGTGCTGGTCTTTTGCAAGGTGCTGGTGTAGCATCTTTAAAGCTGGCTGGCTGGGAAAAAAAACATATTCTGGAGAGCTTTGAGAGATCTGACACATCCGACTACAGCCCGATGCTGAAGGTTGCTGTGGGAAGTCCCCTTTTCAATTAATTTTGACTGCAAATTGGGGCTATTTGATGCAGTGCATGCCTTCTGGCTGGCACAGCCCCGTTGCCATTCTCTTGATCTGCTGTGCTCCAGTGTTGTCCCTGAATCCAGAAAGGCACACAAGCTAATGTTTCCTTTTTGACTTAATCTTGCTGATCTCTCCTTATCTTGCAGACGATCTGGCCTCATCTAGAGTCCGCCTCTATTTCTTCATCTCGAATGAAGGGAACCAGAACTTGTTTGTCGTTCAAGCCAGCCTGTGGCTTTACTTGAAGCTGCTTCCATATGTCTTAGAGAAAGGCAGCAGGCGAAAAGTAAGAGTCAAAGTCTATTTCCAAGACCCGGACACTAGCAACAAGTGGAATGTGGTTGAAAAGAAAGTTGATCTCAAAAGAAGTGGTTGGCACACTTTTCCCATGACAGAGGCGATCCAGGCTCTGTTTGAGAGAGGAGAAAGGAGACTGAACTTGGATGTTCAATGTGAGGGCTGTGAAGAGTATTCAGTGCTGCCAATTTATGTGGACCCCGGGGAGGAATCCCACCGGCCTTTTTTAGTGGTGCAAGCCCGTCTCGCCGATAACAAACACAGGATCCGGAAAAGAGGCCTGGAGTGCGATGGCAGGACCAATCTATGTTGCAGGCAACAGTTTTACATTGACTTTAGACTCATTGGGTGGAATGACTGGATCATAGCACCATCAGGTTACTATGGGAATTACTGTGAAGGGAGCTGCCCGGCCTACTTGGCTGGTGTCCCAGGGTCGGCTTCCTCCTTTCACACCGCTGTCGTGAATCAGTACCGAATGCGGGGGCTGAACCCGGGCACCGTGAACTCCTGTTGCATTCCAACCAAACTTAGCACAATGTCAATGCTGTACTTTGATGATGAATACAACATTGTGAAAAGGGACGTTCCCAATATGATTGTGGAAGAATGTGGTTGTGCTTGATTTAAGGTGTGTTTTTGGGGGGGGAGAGAGAGAGAGAGGGGAGAGAGAGAGAGAAACATTCCCGTACAAGATGGTGTTG